GTAGAAGCACATTATTTGGCTGTACAAGGGTTAAATACTTTACGTTTTTTTGCGCAGGAACTAACGATGCACGCGTAGGCCATGTTTTTTTTTATATAGTGATTAGTTCTGTCTCGGCTATCCCATTCACATAAAAAGCAGCAAAACTTTGTATAACCCAGCTGAAGTCCAAGTAATAGTGCAACAACTTTAAGATCACCGCAGATTTTGAAGGAATGTGTACTGTAATTTATTTTTTCAAGTAAAAGTTTCATATTTTCATAGGTTTCTTTCATATTTGCAGCATGGGCCAGAGGTACAGACGGAAGCTTATTTCCATTATGCAATAACACTGCTTTTAGACTTGCTTTCGAAGAATCAATGAATAAACGCCACTGAGAGAGATCAAAATCTATGTCCAACATTTTCATAATCTCATTTATGTTATTGCAAAACACCAAATCTCCATCCTGAGAAAAATACGTTCTGAAGTGTTGATCACGGTTTCGAAAATAGCTAACTTTTGTATTATGATGTAGCAAATTCCATTCTTTTAGACGTGATCCTAATAGTTCTGACTGCTTTTTTGACAAATTTAAATCCCGAACCAAATCATTTAGGTCTCCTTGAGTTATCAAATGTGGCTCGTTTACAATTCCTTTTAACTCAAAGTCATCGTCCTCGTCAACACATTCACCTGAAGTGGACGGTTAACGAATTGTTCTCAACAGACGTAGTTGCAACTTGTATTAGTTCTGGCAATTTTTTACAATGAGAGACTGGTCTTATAGCCGAAGATAAGTTAGGGTAAATAACTGTGGTTTTTTTCTTGTAATTTATACCTTTTATGTCTGCGAGACAAAAATAGCAATCTGAAACGTGATCTCGCTGTTCAGTAAATATCATGGGTACAGCAAACGGCATAGGTCGTGCACCTTTCTTCCAGTCAGTTAAATTTTTCACACACGTTATGCAACAGACATGAGGGGCCCAGGATTTGTCTTGATGGGCGACAGAAAAACCAAAACATTGGTGATAACGCTCCAACACAAGATTCGTAAAATTTCGTCGTTGTTTTTTGAATGTTAGTTCTCCGCAGACATAACAAGAAGAGTTAGGATCATTATTACACTTCCTCGACATATTCACAGGGTTTCTTTTCTTTTCCAAGACGATTTAATAGTTGATGACGGTAACGCATTCCACGACTGACAAAGAGCAAAAACCAAGTCTTTCATATCAAATTCTTTTAAAGTTTTTTCTATTGGTTGGTCTTTTGATACGGCTCTCAGAAGTAGATTTTTCTTATAGTTCTTGCTTGACAAACTGAATGATATTCTGGTCCATTGGTTGAATCAGTGCAGTGCAATTTGACGGTAGAAACATCGCAGTGATGCACTTATCCTCAGTTGTTAGTTCTTCTTCAGACGGATGACCGGGAGCATTATCAAGAAGCAACAACGCTTTTTGAGGAAAATTATGATCTTTTAACCATTTTCTAACTTCAGGTACGAAGCATTCATCAAACCACTTTTTGAAAAGGTTTTTTGTCATCCATGCACTTTTTTGTCCGCAATAGTGTACAGGTATATCAATGTTTTTGAATGCCCGTGGTTTATTAGATTTCCCAATGACCATCATCTTAAGCGCGTGTGTGCCCGCAGCATTAGCACATGGTAGTATGGTTACTTTACTTACTCTTCGTCCAGGTACGGATTTTTCGTTACAAGAAACGAAAGTTTTGTTAGGCATCACACGCCAAAAAAGCCCTGATTCGTCTGCATTGTACACCTGCGACGGGTCAAGATTTAAATCGTTCACCTTTTGCAAAAATCTTAATTCAAAGAGCTCTATGCAGGTGGCATCGTAAGAAAGTTTCTCTCCTGTAATAGTCATTAAACGTATGCCATGAGGACTTTTAAAGCGTTCTAGCCATCCTTTGCTGGCCACAAAATCATCTTTTTTTGTTATTTCCTTATAAAAAAAATTAGCTTTCATTCATTCAATTAGCCAACATGGGTCCTGAAATTGGTGCATGCCTATTTCTTTCCTGAAGAAACCACATGTACAAAGCTTCTTCCACTTGTGGATGTTCAGCTTTCTTGAGTGTCTGTCTCTTGCCTGGCCCGCAGTCAGTAGTTGACACCTCGTGGTGTCTTTTAATGTCATAAATTGTAGATCGGCCTACGCCGTATTCACTTGCTAAACTACTGAAAGTTTCATTGCGATTTAAGCGGTCTAAAATATCACATTTTTCTTTAATTGTCAATGTTTTGTGCTTTCGCTTCCGAGTTTGTGATGACATTACTAGGTACTACACTTAATACACAATGAATAAATAGTAAACAATGAACGCACGCTAGGCCGTACCTCTATCACCAGTAGTCAAATTCAAACTAAGTAAAACAATGCTTACGCGTCGAGCACGATAGCGGTGGCGCGTACAAGTTGTAACCTGTTCAAACCTGCGTGATCTATATTAGCGAAGATTGTCAAATACGTATGTATGTAATGTTCAAAGACATGTCGGATTACAGGGGGCGCCGGATTATCGGGGGTCCACTGTATCCTTAATAGAGTTCTCGTTTTTTGGGCAAGGAGTGGCGTGTGTTTTTTCACTCTTCAGAACAGCCATACGTAAAAATAGTTAATCATACAAGAGAGAAAAGTACTAGATGGATCGGGAGACAATACAACCTCAAGCTAAAATCTAGTCTTTTTCCCGTGTATAATACACAATTTTTTCTGTGTCCGGAAAAACGACAATTTAATATTGAAAAATTATATTATTCCATCGATGCGAAATTGGAATTTTGAAATTATGTAGTAGGCTATGTTGTACTTATACAATTAGACCTGCGTTGCTAAGGAAGTAATCAAATAGATGTCAATTTAACTTTGTGATTTGATTTAAAAAAAAATTACGTAGTGGTTGTTTAGAAGTTATTTTTAATACTATGAAGTAAAAAATGTCTGATTCCGAGTTTTCTTTGGCTCCACCGGAATAAGTACAATATTTGTAATAATTTGTATAATAAAATATTCTAAAATTAAATATCTACCTTTGCTTATGTGTTTATATACTAAGTGACATATAAATCCGAACACCCAGTTTAAATGGTTTTATTTTAATAAAATTTTGTATAAGTACTTAATGAAGCATAATAAGTAAATGATAAAAATTTCAGAATGATTTCACTGCTTTAAAGCCCTTTGACCTTTAATAATGTGTGGATGCACCCTGATGTGCTACGCATTCTCCAACGCGCCTAGGCATGCTTCTGAGCAGGTGGTCAATGTTCTCCTGTGGTATCTCATTCCAAGCAACCACCAACTCCTCTCGAAGTGCTTCTAGAGTCTGAGGAGGACATTGCAAATTGAGCAATCTCCTACCCATCATATCCCACACATGCTCAATTGGGGATAAGTCATGAGATCTTGGTGGCCATGGTAATAATGTGACATCATTATGTTGAAAGAAGTATGTTGTGACTCTTGCAACATGTGGTCGGGCATTATCTTGTTGGAAAGTTGGATCTGTCAGGGTGTCAAGATAGGGTTCTAGAACTTCGTGGATATAACGCTGCGCGTTCATGTTACCTCTGATGAAGATTAAAGGTGACCTGGAACCATAAGCTATACCACTCCAAACCATAACTCCAACAGTGTGATGAACATGTCTTTCAACAAAAAACTGTGGATTCCTCCTTTCACCACGTCGCCTTCTAACCCTGGCACGACCATCATGCATGCCTAAACAAAATCGAGACTCGTCACTAAAGACAATACTGTTCCGTTCCTGATCCCAGAGTGACCGTTGTCTGCACCACTCAAGGCGATTACGTCGGTGTTCTCGAGTTAAAGGGAGGACCCAGTGTGGCCGGTATGAAAACAAGCCAAAACTTCTCATTCGTCGGTAAACACTTCGCATGCCAATGTTCTGCAAACCATTCATTTGCAATGGAGAATGGACCTGGTATTGGAGAAACGGTCCCTTAAGGCCAATAATCTTAGACGGCGATCTACACGGTCTGTTGTTCTACGGCGGCGTCCAGTGCCCCTTGCTCTTTGCGTACGGCCTTCTCGAAGCCATGCCTGACAACACCTAACCACAGTGTCTACACTTCTTTGCACTCTAACTGCAATTGCCCGAAAAGAAAGTCCAGCTTCCCGAAGTCCCACTATACGGTCCCTATCAAACTCATTAAGTTGACGAAATCGTACAGGTCTCCGTACTCTAGGCATCGTAACCGATCGTAAAGGATGTCAGGAACCAAAATCCGCCAACGTTGATTCTTTACTGCGGCTGAAATATTCATTTTTAGAGCGTTAGTGAGTTAAAAAAAAGCAGTATAAAAACCGGAATGTCCAACTGATAAGGCTGAAAATTTTTTCACTTGTTATTTACGGTAAGATAAATACATTCACCAACTTTTATTAAAATAAAACCATTTAAACTGGGTGTTCGGATTTATATGTCACTTGTATATTTACGATTTGCTACGCCATTTAAGAAAAAGGAACATTCGTCGGAAAAGCAAGTGTTGAATAGAAAATGTTCATCGTTTATAATTCGTTCACTCATATAACATAAGGTGGGATATCTCAGGTATTTTGCGAAATTTCGAGTTAAAATTTGAATCGCTTTGTATTTATCAGCAGACCCAAACCTTGTAAAAGTAAGCTCAAAATTACAGCACACCTAGTCGGTGTTGCATTTTCTATGTCAGGTAGCATATTAAAGTGTTCAATTCAAGAATGTTGAAGGTGAAATTAAATAATCAGATAATGAATACCCAAAATGCATAGTGATGTAATTTTAATGGAAGGAATGTAAAAATTACACAGATTGATTCAAAAAATGTGTAAACGAATAAAATTTGTAAAACTTCAACACGCAAACAAAAATACGAAATGAACGCTATTGCGTGTTGGTGTTCACATGAACAAATTACGCAACTATTCCTTCCTATTGAGAGAGAGAGCGTAAGGAAAATCGATAGTCTCATTTTTATTTTTAGAACAGACGGCAGCATCAGCAGTAGTAGGCACCACTGCGTTGCCCTTTTCTTGTCCCTGACGTGGAAAACAGACGAAATTACCTTCCCTGTCGTCAGAATTAACCGAAACTACCTTCTCATCTGAAAATGCAACGCCCCGCCTGGACACACGTATTGAATAATCCTAACGATTTTCCATTCAGTTTATTTTTTCGACGTTGTTCGCGCATTTTTTTCATCAAAGGCCCAAACTTCGTTGTGAGCCTTGGTCGCCACATCGTAATAATCTTATCAACATTTTCAGAATCCAAACTACGCGGTACCACAAAATTTCCTTACGTGTAAATGGTCATGCAGAATTGAATGAATTGGTGGTCTTCGTCAAGCATTTTCCTCACAGCAGTAATGTTACTGACGTTCGCGCCCTTCCTTCCCACTCAGCGTCCTCCTTGGAACCCTCTGTACCACCTGAATGTAGTCGTACGATGAGGACAATCATTCTTAAATGCAAGCGTTACTTCTTTCAAGCACAGGGCTAGGCTTAAACCACGCGTAAAGTTATACCGTCAAACTGCCCTTATCTCAATACGTGACCACGATGACATAGTCCGTACACTGTCAATACGAATGGACATGTCTCAACATGTAGTGACATGCAGCCTCCTGCGTCCGTTGAAGCCGATGTTACATCATATCGGTGCCAAAGCATGATAGCTGGAAGCATGATGACGTTTAGGCAAACGTACGTAATACCCCTGCTGAATCAATCTATCTGCAACGATATTTACATTTTGTTGATATAGATGAGCAAATAACATGTCAGATTGATCAATACTTAATTCTTGATACATCAGATCCTCATGTCGTCAACATTGCTCGCTCTATGTTTCTAAGTGTAATCTGAAAAATAATAGCGCACCCGGAAAGGATGGTTTACACACTAAAACTATCAAGATAATCATGAAGTATATCATTCACCCTATAACTCAACCTCTGTTTCAAATCCTCAGTAATTCCTCGCCAATTTAAAGAAAGCATACTGACACCAATATTTAAATCTGGAAGTAAAGACAATATGTTCAATTATAGACCTATTTCAGTTATCAATGTATTTGGGAAGATTTTTGAGAAGTGTTTGAATAACAGACTTTGTTCTTTTCTTGACAAATATGACATAATATCGAACTGTCAATTTGGGTTGCGCAAAAATTGCAATACAGAGCAATCTCTACAAGAACTTACAGGACAAGTGCTTGAAAATGTTCAAGATGGAAATAAGACTGTTGCAGTTTTCCTAGATCTTCAAAAGGCTTTCGATTCAGTATCTCATACAATTTTATTAAAGAAACTAGAAAGTGTTGGAGTGCGTAGCGGAGTTCTGAACTTATTTGAGAACTATTTGGCTGATCGATTACAACAAGTTAAGGTACGGTCAGATTTAAGCAACATTCAAAAGATCAAAATAGGTGTGCCTCAGGGGACGGTTTTGGGACCAACACTGTTCCTCATATACATAAATGAACTACTTCGATGTAATTTCAACTGTAAAATGATATCATATGCAGACGATACTGTTTTAGTTTGCACTGGTCATTCATGGGATGACGCAATACGGAAGGTTTGATAAAGTCTGCCAACAAAAAAGAGGAACTATACAAAATAATGAAAGCATCGCCATGTGCAGATACCTCCCATAAATATAAAGAATATAAAAATATTTTTATCAATCTAGTTAGAGAAGCAAAACGCCAATTCTATCTAAAAAAATTACCAGATGCCAAATCTGATCCAAGAAAACTGCGGTCAGTTGTCGATCACTTAACTAACAAAGGCGTTCAAGAAAAGCCAAATATTGATGAAATTAAGAATCGTGATGGAACAATATTAACAGATAAACGACAAATATCCGATGCATGCTTAAATTTTTTCACTAATGTTGGAGAAAATTTAGCATCCAGTATTAAAAAAATGGTTTCGAACGAAAAGTTCACAAAAACCCAACTTCCCAATTCATTCTTTTTAGAAAGCGTTAGTCCGATTGAAGTACAAGAAGCTGTCCTATCACTTAAAACCAAAAAAAGTCCTGGTGTAGATGGTATCAAAGCTGAGCATTTAAAAATAATAGCCTACTACTTAGCCGCACCACTTTCTTACGTCATTAATTGGTGTTTCCAATCTGGAATTTGTCCTGATGCATTTAAAACAACTGTTATTACTCCTGTTTATAAAAGCGGTGACAGAATGGAAACATCAAATTATAGACCCATATCAGTACTATCGAATATAGCCAAAATTTTCGAAAAATTACTACAAAAAAGGATATTACAATTTTTGGACAAAAACAAAATTATATGTTCTGACCAATATGGATTTAGAAAAGGAAAATCTACTACAGATGCAATTTTGGCTGCAATGGATGAAATTAACTCTAATGTCAACAAAAAGATACCTACTATTGGTATCTTTGTTGATCTAAAAAATGCCTTTGATACGGTTAACCATGTCGAGCTTCTGAAAGTTATGGAAAGATTTGGATTTAGGGGAGCGTCACAAATCCTTTCAAAAAATTACCTTTCAAGTCGGGCACAGACTGTCAAAATCACTAACACTTACAGTAAAAAAATGTACATCAAGTGTGGTGTGCCTCAAGGAACAGTACTAGGCCCACTGTTATTTAGTCTCTACTTAAATGACTTATTCAAAATTAACAGTTCTGGAAAGATTATATGTTTTGCAGATGACACCCTCGTATTATATAAAGCTGATGACTGGAGCACACTGAAGCAAATAGCTGAAAAGGATTATAAGGATCATTGACTGGTTTGATACTAAAATTTTAACAGTTAACTTCTAAAAAACAAAATTTATTGCATTTACATCGTATTCAAAATTTTTACCTACCTTCGAACAAATTTCCGTTAATTATCATGGCCAAAAGATAGAGTTAACACTTTGAAATATCTTGGAATATTTATAGACTCACATCTAAGGTGGGATAACCATATTAAATATGTTATCAAAAAAATTAGAAATGTTGCCTATAAACTCAAATGCTTGCTAACATTCTTACAGAAAGTTATCTGCGAATCTTAGTTGAAACCCATATAATATACGGCATCACAGCCTGGGGTTGCCGCCTGCAAGACATATATTTCTGACCTGAATATAGCACAAAAAACTGTTTTGAAAGCCATTTTCCATAAGCCAAGATTATATCCAACGAACAACTTATATCAAGAAACAGGGATACTTGATACAAGACAACTTTATTTCTTACATGCCACCACCTTACACCATAAGTATTGTCATAAAAAGAAAAGATCCTATAAACACGAGCATAACACACGATTTCGAATAGGCTCATCTAATATCCAAAGACCACACAAAACATTATTCAAAAAATCATTTAAATTCTTAGCAGCTAAATTATATAATGTAGTACCAAACGAAATAAAGATACTTAATTTTGGAAAAAAATTTAGAAGAAAATTGAAAGACTGGGTTAGTAATGTGCAGCGAATGACTATACATAATTATATAGAAAACTAAAACTACAAAATTCCAATTACATTAATACCTTTTAGATTTAACAATAATTGTTATACACATATATGATTGATTGTTAGTTATTAAGATATAAACCGCACACAGGCGATGCCTTCTGTGGTTTTTTCATATTTATTTGCCCATTTTTTGTATTTTGGCGAATAAATATTATTATTATTATTATATTAGATACTTAGGAATCACTATTGACAGTAATTTAAAATGGCAGAGTCATGCCGAGCTTTTGGCATTGAAATTAAGGAGAATTATTCATAAGTTTTTCATTCTTAGGAATATTTTAAGCAGAAAGAGTCTTCTCTCAATATATAACTCGTTTGTGGGGTCTCTACTAACTTACGGGATAAGTATTTGGGGAGCCGCATACACTAGTACTTTAAAAATACTACAAACCACGCAAAATTATATCGTCAGGACTATTTTCCGTATCCCTTGTAGGTCAAGTTGCAGATTTGTTTACATTGAAAATGATCTTTTGAATGTTAGAGGTTTATATATTTTTGCTGCTCTAAAATTTGTTCACTCCCGAAACAATGTTCCAACCAGCCACGCTTATGAAACAAGAACTAAAATAAATATAGGTTACACCTATACCAGAGTGAATAAATCTGTTTGCCAAAAATGCATAAAGTTTGATGGTATTAGGTTGTATAATAAATTACCCCTAGAATATAAAATCCTCTCGAAGTATATTTTCAAAAAAAGAATTAAGAAGTTCATCTTAAATAACTTTGACATGCTTGCATCGACGGTAGCTTGACTCAACTCAGTAATTTCGTTTCTATCTAATGTTTTTTTTTTATTTATTTTTTTATATACATTTGCTCATAATATACCTTATGACCATTAGCCATGCATTGAATTTGTATATTGTATGACACACACAAGCTTATAGCTTAGGTGTCTATTATTCTGTAGTAAATTGTAGTACTCTTGTTTCTCTGCTTAACCTTTACGCAAAATTTTTATTGTTTAAACAACATAATTTGACCTTACTCGAAATATCCCTATATTATGCATTAGTATGCTTCTGGTACTATTGTTATGAATTTTAGATTTGTTTATGCAGACACGCAATTTAGGATTTGTGACGACAAGATTCAGACATTTACCCTTTACGAAAGTATACAGAATTTTCACAATTCATATACCGTTACTTGCTGGTTCTAGATCTGATGCTAGTATCTTTGCTCAGATTTCTGTTGCAATCTTGGTTATTCAGGGTAGCAAGAGTATACAAGCTCATGTATTTTTGAAGCTTTTTTTTATTTAAATTGTACTGAAGGTTGTTCTAATTTGTAAGTTATATTGGTTTTTGAATTTGAATTTGAATTTCGTTAATTATTGTTTTTAATTTTTTTCAATAAGCTAATTATGTAACTTAAGTGAAAACTGATAAAATTTTAATAGAAGAATTTGTTTTTGTTTGTGTATATTGCATTATATCAGTTTTTCTTATTAGATCTATGAAAATTTATTTGTTAGGCTTCATTGTCCAAAGTAAAGTAAATAAATAAATAATAAAATATTTCTATCTACGCGTCTCTTGAAGCTCTACAGTATATTCAGATAAGAGATAGA